AACGAGAAAGCACTAGGCTTTTCGTTTTAGATGCGTTCACACGCATGCCGGTCACGTCGCATTTGGCTGCAAACCTTTTCAGGGAATGCTGTACATCAGGGCGGATTTCGTCAATTCTAATAGCCTTTCCATTTTTGTAGCCCTTTCACTCATTGAGCAATTTAATCTACAGAAACGCTACTATCTATTCCCTGCTACTTTGCAGGCAAATCTTCCTGCGGTGGCTCTAGGTTAAGTAGTACCTCAAATTACTCTCACCATCGCTGAAGAATCTCCTCATCCTTGAAAAAGGGAAGTTGCAAATGACGCAAAATTTCTAAGTCCCATATGGTACAGGGCTAATTTTTTAACCCTGTACCGCATATCAGGGTCGACATGAATGGTAGGACCTGTGGTGGTCGAAATTTCGTGAGAAAGAAAAATTCGACATGGAAGTTGTCTGGACTTTACCTTTAAAATTCATAGACTAACCTTTCTTTCAGCTCGGAGCCAGCGGATGGTCAGCTAAAATACCTTGCTTACTGTCTGGAAATTCGACGGCGGCGTCTCTCCAAACCCCTCCCATGAATGGGTTCATTTTGTTTCGGTTTTCGCCATTTCTTTCGCTGTCGCCTTGCGCGCTTCGACCTGTCGCCCGAATGTTGAAGGTTTTCTGCTTCAAAGGCATTTCAACTCCATTTCTTACAGCGTTGCGTGCCAGCGTCCACGAGTATGAGGGACTCCATATTCGGCACTTCGCACAGAGCACACTGCACTTCCTCAAGGAAGGTCTCATATTCTCCCTCCAAATTGACCTGTAACAAGGTCATCGATTTAGCCTGTTGTAGCTTCAATCGGAGGATTACCACCCTTCCGCTGATAGGCTTCCAATCGATTATTCTATCTGTGAGGTGGGTTCTTCCAGAACACCAACACCAGCCTGAGCGGGAGTCGTGATATCGACGCCTCAGTAAAATAGCTTCAATTCGCTGAGGTTCAGGAGTTCAGATACTTGGCGCTTCGTTGACGAGATTTCAATTATGTCGAATCGACCTTACAGCCGAGTTTGGACGAATTTTTTAATTGATTTCATAGGCTACAGACAAAGAAGAGACTTTTACTACTACAAGAACAAGGGTAAAGTCAACTGAATGGTCAACGTTTTCAATCAGTTCGTTCATGGTTTAGGGCAAACAAATAAATGGACAATTATAACTATTAATGCAAAGGAAACCCCGTTGAATTGAAAAGTTTTTAATATTATCATGATGATTTTTTTGTCGCGAACCATGAGTCGCAAACAACCCATGAAGAACAGTTGCTCTCAGAAGCTATTTTTGGAGTATCACCTTATGTGCGGTTTAGGATCAGACTTATCGCCTCTCGTTTTATCAGCGGCGTAAAATTTACAGCTTTAAATGCATCCTCAATCATCAAACGCCCTAATGACTTCGCAGACAGACACAAAAGTTGATACGGGGTTTGCGCAGTCCTTGAATTGGATGGAGACATGTGAATGTGTGCAGGGACCGTTTGACAAGCACGAATTTGACTCAATTTACAGGACGGAAAATGATATTTGAAAAACAAATTAGCTACTCTGATCATCGTCTCGGTTTCATTCACCACCAAGGATAAACTTCATTTATACAGTAAGAAGGACTCGTGTCAAAATAGCAGTGACAGTGCGTAGTTAGCGCAGCTTTCTCCGTTGCCGGCTGCTGCCAAACCGGTACAAATACCGTGAGTGTGATTTCGAATTAGAATTGAGATTGACAGTCGTCGCGCAATACGTCGGGTCGTCTCATCGTCGTCGACCGTGCGCTGCGTTTCCGTTGTAATGACCGGTCTCACCATGTCAGCAATTAGTTCGTTAGACTCGGCGATGTATGTGATCGCGACAGCGGCCGATCGGACAACACCTGAAACGCGATGGCTGACACGGTGTCAGGTCGCATCTCGATCAACGTCGCCGCGGTCGATGTACGGTTAAGTGACTGCACGAAAGCTTCAAGAGCAATTTGCTCCCTGGCGCCGCTCACTCGTCGTTACTCGTCATTAATTAACGGCAGCCGCCGGTGGCCGCGCGCGGTCGGTCGAACAATTACCGTCGCAGGCGGACGGACCTCGACTGCTTCTTCAGCGGTTCTTTCGTCTGACCATTAGTAAACACCACTTAGGAGAAACCGGCTCCGACACAAATACGACCGAGTTCGCGTCGAAGCCGGAGCAGAAATCGCACAAGACGCGCACTCGGTGAGAGAAAGCGGAAAACGAGCGATTGTCAGAGCCGATTTGTGTCTGCGTTCGCTGTGCGGAGTCTAATTGCTAATTTGGCAATGAAAACCACCTGTCCGCGTTTCTTGTCGAGCAATTTGCAAAGCGAGGCTATTATCACGCTGTCAGCGAAGACAGCGACCGACTTTATGGGTCGAGCGACTGCTCATTGACATCCGAACTCAAATCTTTCATACGTCGCTGTGTTATCGCCGCGACGCGACGCGACGCGACGCGACGCGACAAACGAGTGAAACGTCGTCCGCAAAAAGACTGTTTGCGCAAGAAGAATAGGAGTTCAGAAGAAAAAAGTCCATTTAACTGACGCTTCGCTCAAACGTCATGCCGGCATGAAAGGGGAATTCGTTGAACCGCGTTCAACGGCGGACTTACAAGGCTTCGCTGAACCGTGCGCTGCTTTCAAAATCATTAAACAACATGTCTGTCTCAGATGTGAATGTACGCAAACTTTCAATAGCAATGACAACCGACCGACCTGTTCAGCGCAACGCTGCTGCAACGACTTCCCAAGTGACCAACGCTTGAGGCGTGCTAAAAACTATAGCTCAAAGCCAAGTTTGCGGAATCTTGCCAGATATGAAGAAAAAAACACTGGCGGATCTCGAAACGTTCCTTCAATAATAAAAGCAAATCGGCGGCAGAAAACTTTCTGTTTAGGGCGAGACACAGGCTGTCCCTGAAAGAAACTTTTGTGTTAGGCCGATAAACCGTCGATGTATTCACTTTAGAAAAGGAAAAGAGCAAAATTCATAATCGTTGAAATATCAGTCTTCCTTAAACATTTATGATCGTGAAATTCTGACACGATTCCTCCATGAAGATATGAAGCGGTGGCACGATGCTTTGGAGGTCTGTTTGGAACTCCGGAGGCACGGGTTCGATTCGGAGGACCGTCTTACTCGCGAATTCCCTTGAGCAGGGAATTTATTATGTATTGCTTCAGAACGGGGTTGCTCATTCGAGAAAAAAAACATACTAGTCAGAACCGATGGGCTCTCTGTTCAAGATCCAGTTCGAGTCACTCGCCCTTTTCATTCCCTATTTCATATACGAGTTCCACTCTCTGGGAAGGAAACAGATTTCATGCTACACTTGATATATGGCGTCAAACGCTGGCTTAAACACGAGGCACTCTTAGCGCTGATTGCGCAGAAACGGACATCAGCGCTACACCGTCAACTTCATGAATCGAAATGCTCCAAAACGTCCCAGTCATTAGAGTGAACGAGGACTGTCATTCTGACAGTGACAAAAAACAAAACTTTCATAAAGTACCCTTTCCCAAAGAGTAGCACTCTATCATCAATCTCGAAAGGACGAAAGGGGAGTCACT